GTATATCATAAAAATGGTACCGTTGGGTAATACTGCTTTTACTATTGAAATTTTGATTTGCATGAAGTAAGGCAGTGTAAATTGAGCCTCAAAGACGCTGAAGCTGTTTCCATAATTTGCCTGGAAATGAAAGAACATTTACCGGGTCTGTTCAAAACTGGTTTTAACATTTTAAGGTTGGAGAATTGTTTTTTGAAGTAAAAATCCCAGATTCGACGAACACCAAGTGTCTATTATAATATTTTAAAACCCGAGGTAAAAGAGAAACAGCTCTTAAAAGCTTTCTGAAGAGCTCGGAACATTGAAAGACAGCATTTGTAGAGCATTACATAAGTTTCAGACAGATGCGGGAGAAGTGGTTCTTGATTTGATGAGCAAAACACTTTTGATCCGCGCTCGTATCAAGTTTCATCAAACAATAATCAGTTCGTTTCACCTTTTCAAGTTGTAGTAAATCTTACCATCCACATGTTGACAGATGTTTTAATCTCATATTTTTGCGAGATAAGAGGTCGAAAAATCGGTTACAAAACTTAAAGATAATCGATTTTCTTAATTTTTTTTTTAAGATATGAAAAAGAAAAACAGATAGTAGAAATATTAGAAATCATCATTCAACTCTATTACGCTACAATATATCACAAATGTTAGCTTCTGACTTTTTCTTTTGTTAAAACATCCCCTTATATTGTCCTGGGTAAGACGATAAACTACATCTGCGTCCTGGGTATGACGATAAACTACATCCGCGTCCTGGGTATGACGATAAACTACATACGCGTCCTGGGTATAACAATAAACTACGTCCAACAGCAAGGCCTCTGATAATATGTTTTTGAAAAAATAATGTTGCCAACTGTACGTTTATGAAAAAATATTACCAGCTATACGTTTTTTCTTTAAAGAATAGTGTTGCCGGCTATACGTTTTTGAAAAAATAATATTACCAGCTATACGTTTTTTGAAAAATTATATTATCAGCTATACATTTTTGAAGAAATATCATCATCAGCTATAAGTTTTGGAAAAATAATATTACCAGCTGTACGTTTTGAAAAAATAGTATTACCAGCTGTACGTTTTGAAAAATAGTATTACCAGCTGTACGTTTTGAAAAAATAATATTACCAGCTATACGTTTTTGAAAGAATATTACCAGCTATACATTTTTGAGGAAAAAATATTAAAAGAAATAGATTTTTGACAAAACAAAAGTATTACCAGGAAAAAAAAGTTGTCGGCATTAAATGACCCATTGAGGTTGATATGCCATAAAACAAAACAAACCAAACCATCTTTTTATAGTGCAATCGTTTGCGGTCCATCGTTGCGAAAAATCCGAATCACGCTAAACCGGGTTGTAATCAAAGAAAGAATGTGCGCTTAATGTAACGGTTATCGGTGTAGAAAATAAAACTGGCGAACCGGGTTCAGATTCTGGTGAAGTTCACCTTCACACAAATGCTCTGAAGAAAGGCATAAATCGTTCACTTCTTCATCCATACCAACTAAATAGCAGCGTAGACTTTGGATTCTACATTTGGATGCCTATCGATCTAGGAGAATGATAACTCTGTATTCAAAGCCGTAGAAATTGTGGCAATTCCCAGGTAATAAAGAAAAAAAGAAAAAAAAAAGGAATCTGTGGAAAGTTAAGATCTTCTATATCCTGAAGGGAAATGAGATTTAAAAAATATAAAAATATTATCAAAGAGTGTAGAAAAACATGAAATTAACTTTGACCTATCGCGGTATATTAAAATTCGCGTTAAATCGGGGCGCGTAATATCAAGCTGGCGTTGATTCTGATTGATGCTCAGTTTTTACCAAGGCTCAAATTATTTCTGCTGCAACATCTTTGAGCATTGAACAGTCTTCGATATGTGAACGTGTTCAGTACAGCGTTTTATTTAATTCATACTCTTATCCTGTGGTCGTTATTTTTAAACCGAACCTTTCAGTTTATTACATGCCCTACTCTGCTAGTGGCAATCTATCTTCCGTCTTCCTCAAGTTCACGGTTTCCTTGGTTCTCTCTTTGTGTTTTTATGATCTAAAAAACACATTGATAAGAGAGTATTTTTCTAGTTCTTCATCCATGTGTCTTTGGTTTTTCAGGGAACTATTGAAAAATGGTGCATTGCAGATAGCATAATTAAAAATAAGATAAACAATCTTGTTGGGGTTTTTCTCTTGGTGGAACTAAGGCGTTACTAACATTACAAAAGATATTCCACGAGTAGCTATGAAATATAATCGGTGACCCGATCAGATAATGATGAAAGTAATTAGTACCGAAAAACATGGTCAATTTCATTTAATAATTAGCGGCAAAAAATAAAATTTACTAAGCATACCATATTGGTATAAAAAAGACCGCCTGAATTATTATTATTTACACTCGGAATGCTGCCCTCATTTTTTGTTGTTATTATCATATTATCCGATGAAGGTCGTTGTGGCCTCTGCTTTTCATCGGGTGCCTATCAATCTGGGTAACTATCTAATAACGTTTATTTAATAAATGGTGATAAGGCCAGTGCGTACTATCACCGAACTTCCCGACAGGGGGGAGGCTGATTGTGGGCACAGTATAGCGCTATGGGATCCTCACGTGATATATATATATTTTTGTAGAACCAGTGTTCCACTATAAGAGAACTGGCCAGAAATTGGTAGCATGCAAAATAGCATTAAATGTTTGTTATATGCACTTATTGCTGCTACAATCATAATAAATTTTGTTGAAGGTTGGTTGGTTGATTTTGATAAAAAGAGCCTTGAGAATTTTAAGTTTTTGTTTATTTTTTGTGGTGTAGTATATATTGGTGTTGTCAAGATAGGCAGGAATGTGTTTTGAAATGTTGTTCCATAGATACAACGGATAAATTTAAAATGATTATAACACAGCGCATTCCCACGTTTGTTTTTTAATCACCATCGTAATGAAATGCAAATTTTATTGCAGTTACAATAAGTTTGTCTTTGTAATTTACCACCGAGGATGATCTCGGAGGAGACTGAATGTATTTGGGTAGGAAAAAACTACAGCACCTTCTTTGATGAATTGCATCTTAACATCAAGAAACTGATTAGAGAATTGGAAAGGATCAGTATAAAAATAGATATATCTATATTATTCAATGCAGCACACACACACACACACACACACACACACACACACATATATATATATATATATATATATATGGTGCATTTGGGAAGTTATACTGATGTGGAAGTTCTTTCTTAAGGATTTTTTTAGTTTTATTTTTTCCATATTTCAGATCATTTTGCTCATTTCCGGTGAAAGTTTAAATATGAATTGTCCAATGTCCAAGTATTTTCGGCTTTCATAAGCCATGATCAAAGATTTTTTACTGTTTGCAATGTTGCTTTTTTCGAATATCGTGCATTCTGTATCATGTTGACTTTTAAATTGCATCTTCACATGTCAATTCATGTTGTTTTTTTTTTGTTAAATATATTTATTATGTATTTTCTTAAATTTGCTAAAATTTTATTGATATTAAGTCATTTTTATGCTAATGCTTCTTGTGATCGTTTTTTTTATAGTTTATATAATATACATGTTCTTTGCAATGGTTTGTCACATTTGTTTTATTTTGTTGGTCGATATAGAACTTAATTGAACTATTATAAGATAAATGACAAGTTAATCAGTGTGATAATGCAGTGGTTGTGTAACCGATGTATGTGTTATTTGAATTATTATTATTAGTGAGACATTTTCCAGTGGCACAAACGAATTCAGAGACGAGTTTGGTTTGTTGAAATTTGTTTTGTTTTTTTTGCTGTGTTACTGGTAGTGATTATGTTGGATTTTTTTTAGTTTTTTTTGTGGTAAATCAGGAGTTGTTTTTAGTTTTGTTATTAGATTTTATGTATTGATATATTAGGTCTCTTATAATTTGTTCATTTATTTGTTGCTACAGTGAAGTTGGTTTCTCTTTTATACATCATATATAGTATTTTCGTTTTGACTAAACTGAACTAATTCAATTCTTTTAGTGGCAGTGTTAAAGATAATCAAATAATAATGATCAGATTTTCTTTTCTGATATAAAACTGAGTCAAACTATGGTTCAAAATTTGTGTTTCTTCTCGTTCAAATTGACCATAAATGTTGAGCAGTTAAAATGTAACTATAATTCGGATTTGCAATGCTTCGACTTTGGTTAAAATTTCATGATTTTGTTGGAATACTGTTGGCCATTTCTATCAGTATGGAAATGTTTTCACTATTGTAGACAAACATTTTGCATGTTATATCGTGGAATTTTGCAGAATGCTAGAATTCAAATTCAGATATACATGTATAACATAAATTACAGCATATCTACACACACACACACACACACATATATATATATATATATATACATATATACACACATACATACACACATATACATACACACATACATACATATATATATACATATATGTACACATAGATACACACACATATATATATATATATACACATAGATACACACACATATATATATGTATATATACATATATATACACATACATATATATATATATATACACATATATGTACACATATCTACACACACATATATATATGTATATTATGAAAAAGGACTAAGTCCGATAATTATACAATTTATTTATTGTTCTTATGTTATTTTTATAGATACAAATATTAATGCTCTGTTTATAATAAACAGTATTAACAACATTTACCAGCTAAATGTCCGAGAAATCTCATAGAAAATATGTGTCCTCCGATAGGAATCAAACCTGTATCCTACATGGAACCATCATATAGCCTGACATGCTATACCATTTAGCTACAGAGGGAGTGTCTGGTTAGTAAGGTTAAATTACTCTTTTTGAACTTCAAATTTCCCACGATTTCTCTCGAACACTCATATAAAAGAAAAAATGTCAGAAGGAAAGAAAATCCTATTAAAGTCTTTATTAAAAATTCAAAAACTTATTTTATAGAATCACTTGGTTAGTTTTAACCACTGTTCTAGTGCAAATTTTGTTCCTGAACTAACCCTTTCCAGACCAGTGTCACATGTTCCAGATGCTACCCGCAGCAATGGTGCCAAAGGTAAGGAACATTCCACCATTTTTTGTTCTTCAGATAAAATGTGGGCTCTGCAAAAAAACATTAAACATGAAAAGCATTTTTAAGTCAAAGAAAAAAATCAATAAATTGGACAAATATTTTAGAAATCTTACAAAAGTTATTTAGTTTTATTTAGATTTGCTGGAAGTGCAACAGTTAATAAGTGCAGACAATAGAATCACAAAAGGGGATATGAGTTCAAATCTCACTGAGAGCTTATCTCTTATTTGAAATCTTGTGATATTTAATCACTGCCACAGACTGATGACCTGAGTAAAGTTGCACCTCAAATGCAACTAAAAGAATTTAGATGTAATTATATACGAATCAACATTAATAATAATTGTTGATAATGTTTCAACAGATGAACAATTTTCTCTTCTACTGATGCAAAAAAGTGTTACATGCAATACATAATATATATATATATATATATATATATATATATGTTAAGAATTTGGGTAAATGATACTGACAGTTTTACATTAAATGACAACTGAAAAAATGTTTATGAAAGTACAATGTTTTGAAAAAATATCCGATAATGTATTTTGACTATTTTAGGTTTCATCAGATCAAAGACGACAAACTTTAAACTCAAATACTTGATGTTAAATGAATTTTTTAAATAAGCCACTCATTTTCTCTTTTTTTATAGTCATGTGCAATGCCAGCTTGGGAAAAATATATGATCACATTATTTTAAATAAGTAAATACATATACATGCAGTTCACTTTTTTATCTTTGATCAGATGAAGCCCAAAATGGGTAAAATGCATTATCGGATATTTTTTGAAACATTATAATTTCATGAACATTTTTCCCAATGTCTATATATATATATATATATATATATATGTGTGTGAGTGGCATTTTTTAAATCAAAGTTATGACCTGTTTTGTTTGTATGTATATTTAATAGGTTGTCCTAATGGAGATGTCATCTATGTTTCTTTTTTTGTGTTATAGATGCATACTTTTAGGCTTCCAGAAAGCTAAAAGTTTGCATGAATCGATAGATAGATATGAACAGAATGAGAGAGATAGGTTGGTTGGTTGATTTGTTTTATGGCATATCAACATCAGTGAGTTATTTAATCCCAACAAAATTTTGAAATAGATTCATAACGATAATTTGATTTACGGCATATCAACCTCAATGGGTTATTTAATGCCAACAAAATTTTGAACTAGATTCATAACGATAATTTGGTTTATGGCATATCAACCTCAATGGGTTATTTAATGCTGACAAAATTTTTGTTGCTGGTAATATTTTTTTCCTTCATAAATCTATTTTTAGTAATATTTTTTTCTTCAAAAATGTATTGCTGGCGATAATTTTTTTACAAAAAGTATTTCTGGTATTAAAATCTATTTTTACACTTTCATAGTGTTTTGACACCAGTTTGGGGGTTAACTATTTGCCCATAGCTGGGACCCTAACAAGTGCTATCACCCTGGGTCAGGGTAGACCTGGGAACACCAGCAATTAAGAGGTGGTTCCATGCTCCTCAAAACCTCCTGATCAGACGCCTTGCTGTTGGACATAGTTTATTGTCTTACACAGGATGCAGATGTGCAGAATGAGATAGACAGATAGATATGCACAGAATGAGATAGATAATGAAGAGACCTAGGAATAGATAGATTGATATTAGAATAAATCTAAAAGTAAAGGTAATTTAGAAAATGTCTGGTAAAAACTACAGGGAAGTGCTGATGTGTGAAACAATGTATGCATGTGGGACGACATGTATCCAGCCACATGTTCCATTCTGTTGAAGGAATGAAGTCAGATATGTGGAGGCTCCACTCAGCAACTGAATCATTGATGAACAATGCACCCTAGTACACTTTCTGCAAGCAGGCGTCAAACATGCAAAAATCCATCACTGAATGTTGGCCCAGGATGGCGCATGCCCAATAAATCATGAAAAATGCATCTAAATGGTTAGAAAAATGAAAACAACTAATGTAACTGAATAAAGCCGATCTGGTCAACCATCAATATCACACACGGAAGAACACATCCAGAGGGTGGAGGCCTTAATCAGGGAAGACCGATAATCAGGGAAGACCGATAAATCATGTTAGCACAAGTGGTGGCCAATTAGCTAGGGATCTGCACAAGCCATAGTGCATGATGACTTGGGGTAATGTAAAATTTGTGCACATTGAGTTCCCAAGCAGTGCAGACATGGTTCATCAGCAACTAAAAATTTTCTTTTTAGAAGGGATGAAGAAGCTTATTTAACAATACCAGAAGTTCCTCACCATGCAGGAGGACTATGCCGAAAAGTGACGTATGCATTTGTTCTTCATCAGTGGAAGTAAAGGTGTTGTATGGAAATTACCTTTAGTTTTTAATTTACCCTCATAGATTGCACATTTCAAATTATTTGTAGATAAAAAAAATTAAGAGCAGAAGTGAAATTTTTATGCACTTATTAACTAAGTTATGAATTTTGAACTGGATTTATATTTTTTTATTACTCATTTCACCCCAAGCAAGGCTATAATGCCACTAAGATGCAAGGGGGTTACTGACAGTGAAAGAGAATGGGAAGACATCAGTGAGCAGAAAGAAGAATAAAAGGGTGGGATTCAGGAAGACAGAAGATGATGATCGACATTGCATTTACATTTTTTGAAAATCATAGTGCTAAATATAATGTAATTGAAATAAAATTCATAAATTAATTTTTTTTGACAGTTAGGTAAGGAATATTTAATAATAGTTTCAGACTATTATTTTTTAGTGGCAGCGCATTTTGGCTCAGGCCTTCTAATGCTGACCTTTAAGGTCAGAATGTAGACAAAATAGGGATGTTGATTTTGATTGGCTGAGCCGAATGTGGAAATGTTACACAGATAGAAAGTGATTTCAGGAGTTAAGGTTTTACACGTCATACACAGCAGACGTGGTTATTTCATGTCTCAGGGAATTTACTCCCCACTGGGGGTGATAGAGTGATCCCACTGGCTAGTTAGAAATGTACACATGGACATGTTAATAAAATAGATAAGTTTCAAATTTCCTTGATGTCTGTTTCATCTCTAGACTCCAAAAACATTTCGACACACGTTCGGGAGAAGATGAGCAAGAAAGAAGAAAGCAACATTATTATTATGGAATCAACACCATCAACCAACACTTTCAACAAGGAAGAGTATGCAAGATTTTGCTTATTTGGCGCAGTGGCCAAGACAGTCCCCAGGAGAGAGGGAATATGCAACAATAGGCAGCAGGGAAGCAAGAAACTGGAAGAGAGTTCCACAGATGAGAAGTGTGGGAAAAGAAACTATGACAATCAAACACACGGTTACATTAAGCTATTTCAACAGTAAAACAATGAAAATTTGTTGTCAATCTAGTAGTAACTTAAATTCAGAAGGGTTGATAAACTGTAAAAAATAAATCAACCAACCAAACCTATTTTAAATGAGTCTTTATTATAGTGTGATTTTTTTTTTAAATATGGCAAATGACTAGTTGCTCTCCTGTTTTGAACAAACTGAATAGCTACTTGAAATTTTTAGTCTGATTAAGTAGAAAGTGAATTTCCCATACTTTTCATTGTCTACGCTTCCTTGGAGTAACGTCCATCGAAGACAATGGCTGTAGGACAATTAATCGACAGTCAAGACTATAGTGTCTGGGCATGATAAAAATCTGATGCCATCACAGATGATGCAATATCTTTCAAGGCCAAACAAATTTCATCATACACCCTGAAAATAGATTCATATTGCTGCACACAACTGCAAATGACCTAATCTGAGAAAAAAATAGAAACTGATTACACCCTGTCACTCCAATGGGTCTAAAACTGACCATATGGTGAAAGAAAGGAAATTAAATCAGTTGTTTCAATTAATTTGTACAAGGGTATAGATTCAAAACCATCAATTTCGTAATAAAAATGGATAGTAAAATTCATAATTGCCCAACATGGTACACATATTTTCTCTCTAGATAGAAGGATTTATATTTCTAATCTCTCAGCTATTTCTGCTTCTCTTGAAATTCAGAAGGTCAATTTACCAAGATGGTGAGCTCATTAGAACGATTTCCTGAAAATATTTATAGAAACGACAGAGGGAAGCCACATCATGATAGTGGAAATGAAATAGAAACTGAGATGTCAGGTCAGAACTGATAAGATTACAGACCATTCCTTGGATTATGTTGAGAATACTGAGACATATGGCAGGAGCACCAGTCCAGATATGGCAGCAATATTCAATGCATGGTTGAATGGAAGATTTATAAATGTGCAAGATGGATTCTGGGGAGAAAAATTGTCTGGCATAACAGTGTGAACCAACTTTCTTAGCAGCAGACCTAGCAAATGATTCAATATAATCCTTCCACTTCATGTCAATGGAAAATGTAAGACCAAAAAGGTGCAAAGAGTTGCTCCCCTGGTGGTTAGCATCAGCCATGCTGAGAGCAGGCAGAAAAGGTTCTCTATGATGACAAAAAGATAGTAGTTTCATGTTGGAGGCATTAAAATTTTATAAGAGTTCTTGGATTGCAAAGGAGATATTTGTCGCAGATTACTTCCACAATAAAGAGAATAGATCACTGTAAATTCAGACTTGAATATCAGAGGCAGAAAGAAATGTTGAAATTTTGATTCGCCTGTACTATGTCTCAAATCACAATGCACGTAATCAGCCAGAAAAATAACTCACTCACTGATGAACGCGGTAGCCAAAATACACAAATTTTGTCTGATCCCCTATTCGAGAACACCAACTGCTTTCATTGACCCAGCATTTATTTTCATTCATCAACAACTGGGAGAGGACACACAATATTAGCATATCAAAATATTTTTATGGTGACTCCTGTGACTGACTTGTTTCTAATTTGAATATTCTGTCTTCAGCACATCATGCATGGTACCCCTGTGCCTAAGGCTACACTGAATAGAAAAATATGCTGCTTGTAGTAATAATTATAAACAAAAAAAAATTAAAGTTTACCTGAAATATGATGGAAGATCAGGGAGAGGATTTTCTATCTGAACAGATTGTTCCTCATCTGATGCGACAATTGCAGAGATGACTGTCCTGTCTAGCCATGCACAGGCATCTACCTCATTTGGCTCTATCTGTAGCTGAGCAGATGCTGCCTCTGAGTTGAGCTCTTTCAATTTGCCATGCAGGTAGGTCACAAGATGATGACGTTTGGGATCACCATGGTTCAGCTTGGCAGGATATACAGACTACAAAATAGAATTTTTAAATGGGCTCTGAAGAAAATGAGTAGAAAACAGAGAGAGAAAAATATTTAAAAAGGAATAAAAGAAATACAGACTAAGAAGGACTTCTGGATTTCTTCCTTTCTTGAGAGTAACTGAAAATATATAACAAAGAAGAACTAACACAAACTGTGGACAGTTCCTTTAATGAATGGTGGACACAGATCAAACTGACAACCATCTAAACACAGAAAAAAAAAATGTAAAACTATTTTTGAAATACAAATATTATTTTCTTTTCTTTCCTCTACCAACTCACAACCTGTAAATAACTGTCGTGACGATGCAATGAAAGTAGCTAAGCAAAAGCTATCAAGGAACACACCTCTGAACCAAATGTGGATTATGACAAAATCAACCAATCAAGAGACATCATAATGAATTACTAACTATAGGTGATCATGGCACTCCATTTCTTCCTATCCTTGGAAGCTCTCAATCAGTTTTGTCTTTTTGTTTTTTTTCCCCAACACTGTTCTGCCATCCACTTGCTTAAGCCCATTAAATATGTCATATGTTGCTTTCCTTGTCCCTCTTTCCTTCTATCTGCCCTGTGAGTATCAGATTTTCCAAGTCTTTCTTTTTTATTATGTGTCCCAGAAATTTCAGCTGCCTCTTCCTGATGTTAAGTATAAGTTTCTTCTTTGTTTGCATCCTCTCCAAAACCTCATTGATGCTCACATTCAGTCCATGGTATCTGAGCATCCTTCTGCAGAAGTATACCTCTATTGTCTTGAGTCTCTTCTTCATCTTTGAGGAGACTGTCCAACATTTGCTGTCATAAAGGAGGACAAATATCATGTAGCAGTTCAGTACTCTTTTATTTGTTACCAACGAAACACTCCTGTCTCATAATACTCTGCCTAGCTTTTGGAATGTGTTGCACTGTCTTGTCAGAACACTTTCCAGATATTTAAATTTCCACACCTGCTTAATTTTAGTGTCTCTGGCCTGTAAATTGCATTTTGGGCTCATCTTTTTACTAATGACCATGCATTCTGTCTTCTTGTAGTTTATGCTTAGTCCCTTCTTCTAGCTCTCCTTCACTACCTTCTGTAGGAGGTTTTGTAGTTTCCTTTCTGTGTCAGCTATCAGCACTGTGTCATCTGCATATCTTATGTTGTTAAGATTGTGGTCACTCATGATGAATCCTAGTAGGATTTTCAGTTCTCTCAGAATTGCCTCACTGTAAAGGTTGAATAGGTCTGGTGAGAAGACACATCCTTGTCTTATTCCTCTTTCTATTTTAGTATATCTGTTGAACTTATTTTTTATCTTTATGCAGGTGGTTTGCTGCCAGTAGATATTTTTGATTATTCTAATATCTTTCCCAAATATGTCAAGCTTACAGAACAGCTTTAACACATCTACGTGGCATACTTTGTTAAATGCCATTGCATAGTCTACAAAATACAGGTGCACGTTCTTCTGCATTTGTATTGCTCTTTCTGAGCATGAATATTGCACTACTTGTTCTGGTGTCTTTAAACAAACCCACACAGTTCTTGTCCTATCCCTGACCTGATTCTGCTGCCTGCACTATTCATCAGAATATGGATGATGAGTTTTGGCATGTGGCTCGTTAGGCTGATTGTTCAGGGGAGTTCACATTCGTTTGTGTCTGGTTTTTCAGGCAGTACTATGAAAATAGATCTGCTTAGATATTTCAGTAGATTTCATTTATTATTTCTGTAATGCCAAAATCATCTAAGGCTGTCAGCATTTCTGTTACAATTCCGTCTGGCCCTGCCACCTTGTTTCTGTTCAATTTGGCCAGTGCAGCTTCTACTTTGGTTTTTAGAAATTCAGGCCCCTCAGTTCTGTGTATTGTTGGTTGTTCTCTTTTATCATGGAAGAGTTCTCCAATATAATCATTCCAGCGTGGAAGAAATTTTTCCTTCTCTAATATGAGTATTCCATCCTTTGATTTTTATACAGCCTGTTGCCTAGCAAGTCTTCTGTCCTGTTGATTCCCTTATTTGTTTATGCATATCTCCTTTGTTGGTGGCATCAATCTCTCTATTTCAGAACAGTTTTCATTTAGCCACTCTTCTTTAGCTTGCCTGCATTTCGTCCTTTTGTCATTGTATAGTTTTTACATTGAAACACCAGATCTTATCTGAGCACCACAGTTGAGAAACATTGACAGTACCTAAATGGGTGACTGATTGGTTATACCAGGTGCTTTAAGCTTGGATGTGCAGATGGTGTAATGACTTGGAATGAGGAACTGGAGAGCTGAGTTTGAATTCCAGTTGAGTTCATTACATTCACTTATGCACAGATACTCTTGGGAAAGAAATTCCTATAATTATAATATTAGTATATACCAACTCTTCTATATACCTCTAAGACCTGGACAACTTAACAACGTCTGAAATTCCTTGAAAAATATCTCCAGCTTTGTTTTTGAAGTATCTTGAACATCAGTTGGAAAGACAGAAGAACTAATGTCAGCATACTGGAACAAACTAAAATGACCAGCATTGAAGTGATCATCATAAAAAGATCAACTTCAATGGAGAGAACATTTGGTGTGATTGGATGACAGTTACCTACCAAAGCAAATCTTTTACTCCCAACTCAAAGAAAGAAATCAAATAAGAGGAGGTCAAAAGAAGAGATTCAAAGATGTTCTAAAAGAAAAAAAACATAACATTGACATCAACAGCTGGGAATTCAGTGCAATGGACAGGACTCTCTGGAGATCCATTGTCAAAAACGGAACAACAATCTTCGAATCCAAATGATCAGCTGAACCAGTGGAAAAAGATGTTAGAAAGAAAGACGACAACCAAAGCCTAATCCATGATCCGGAACAACCTGTATCCAATGTTGAAGGATCTTTCAAGCAAAAATCCGTCTCATTGGCCATCTTAGAGTCCACAAACCCAACTGACTGCAGTAAACAGAACAAGACCTTCATCCTTGACCTCAATGGATAGAGATGACAAATAATTATGAAATGATTTCATTTATCTCTTCACCTGTTTACTCACCTCCCAAAATGCCATTAAGTTCAGTTTTTCTCCTATACATTGTTTGGGTGACACCTCAAGTCCTGTCTCCTCTTTGAATTCTCGTAAACCGGCTTCAGTGAGCTAAAATATAAAATATATAAAGATAAATATATAAAGATAAATTTCTGGTATATTTGGTCACAAAATTTTTAGGTTAATTTTTTTCTGGACAAAGAAAAGAAGAAAAAGAAAAAATAGCAATGATCTTATATCCATTCGCTCTACAAGCCCTATTGGCACCATTCAATTCGATACTACCTGTCACATAACCAGGTCATTATTGACTGAACAGGCTTTTACACCAGGCTTTTCTGGCAAAGAGAGTGGTTAGACACTCAGTATGAATAAAAATAAGTCCTGTCAAAAGGTAGATGTATTTTTTGTAGGGTCAATGGCCATTTAGCACAATGGAGTAGACTGGGCTCCATAGCTATGGAATGCTACCAGTGGGGATGATGGCATGGCACTGATTGAGGAAAGGCTTCCTAGACTGAAGTCAACAGCTATGGCACAGGATTCCCCTGATGGAATCAATGGCAATGTGTCTGTAAGCAAAGCAAGCCTTCAAGATAAAGGAAATCAGCTGTGGTTTGAACTGGAGAGGGATGGAATCTACCAGGCTATGCATGAATTAATACCTCTCCAGTTTTCAACCCAGGTATGTGGAGGGAACTGGTCAGGTGTTCAGCAGCGTAGTGACCCTACGTCCACACCCAGTCATGGGACTCATGACAACGAGTAAATATCATATCATTAGCCCATTAACAGCCAGTGAGAGGATGTTCCATTATTGTTGGTCTCTGGTTCAATTGCTGAGGTAGCAATATGAGTCAGCTGAGGTGTTGTTAAATTGAAAAAACAGCAGGACCTGTCATCGAAATGGATACAGAATATTTACTTTCAACAGATGGTTATCAGTAAGTGAAGTCAATTTTAAAGTACAGACCATTTGGTTCAGAAAGAAAAAAAGTTATGGAAGGAAGATTAATTACTTTTTTTAGACAAAGATGACAAGACAAAGAAAACTGACCATCCTGCAAAAAGGCACAGAGAAGGAATGAAGTGCAACTCACAGAACAACAAGGAAAACAGCTGCTGAATTGTATGCATCCCCACAAACCTATGCTACATTTCTACTTCACTAGCTTATAGCAGTAGGTTACAACCCAAGAATATTAGCTGGTTTACTGCTAGAAATTATTTTGTTTTTCATTCGTGGGTAACAATCTGGACAAATGGTAATTTTTAAGCCACAAGTGTTTGAATGGAAGAAACCACACCCTATAGGAAATGATGCAATTTCCCGTCAAGGAAAGTTTGAGAAAAATGGGATCAATTTTGGCGCAATTCTTAATACATAAAAATGCCTATGCACGTTTTCTAAAAAATTAAAACACTCGACCACATTTTTTGACCAATCAGGTGTACAAAAATATGCGTGTGCATGATCCAATCAGAACATTTAAAAAATGAGAATATTTTCAAACCGGTTCAGAACAGTTTACTTGTCTGGCAAGATTAATACAACTATGTCTCACCAGCAGCCCGCTCCATACAACTGTGTCTCACTGCAGCATGCACCTTTGACCACTGAATGAACAGTATCAAATTATGATTCTCAACTGAGCGATAATGCTTTTAACGCCACATGGCTGCTGATATTTCTCTATAATTCGCAGTAACTTTAAAGAAAAACAAATACTAACAATTCAATTTTTGTTCTCAGATATTTCCACAAGTTTTTGTGTTGTAAACAGAAAAGGAAATAAAAACTTCTTTATTTCATAGCACTCATACTAATCATTTTCTATTAACATTAGTACCACTACACACTCTGTCAATGAACCTGGTGTCTAGTCTAAATTGCAACACAACACAAATGACACAAATTTATGCCACAGTTAATGGTGAAAAAAAAAAAACTGAACAAGCATCTTTGATTTGTCTAGTGGTTACGATATTTGCATATTTTCTTTTGCAAAATCAGCTGCTAAGAAAGTTGGTTCACTATGTCATGCAAGACAATTTTTCTTTCCAGAATCTATCTTAACATATCTATAAGTTTATCATTAGTCCAAGCCTAGAATATTGCTGCCACATATGGTCTGGTACCATGGCTACTCACCTTGTGCTTCTTGATAACATCCAAAGAAGAATCTGCAATATTATTGGTCCTGATCTGGTGACTCGGCTTCAGTCACTATCCCACCACTGTAAGGTTGCCTATCTGCGTCTTTTCTCTAAATCCTTTCATGGTAATTGTTCGAATTAACTCTTCTCTATGGTACGTAGACTTTATAAATTTAAGCGCAGTACTAGATTGACATTAAGATCTCATCAATTTACAACTGGCTAGATGTAACCATAAATTCTATGCTAACAGTTTCTTTTCTCACACTTCTCACTTGTGGAACACCCTTCTGGCTCCATGCTTTCCAGCCAACTTTAATCTGCAAAAAATTAAATGCAATGTCAATCGCTATATACTGTGCTCCTGATTACTCTTTCCACTTCCTGCTCATTATTAATGTTTCTGTTCCGAATTCTTCCACACCCTGTAAACCCTTGTGTCTTAGTGGCTTATCTGCCTTGCATGGGGTGACACCAATTAAAAAAAAAATTAACTTTTTTGTACCATTTTTAGTTTGATGCTATATGAAACTAAATTTGCACCTAGATAATGTATTATGCAATATAGATTAAGAATCTATATTAAAATTATTTGTAATATTGTTGTTTTCAAGGCAAATGTTTGGCAGAACTCCAGGTAAAGACACACCATGCTACATAGATTTGAATCCACCTTATGCTCTATTAATAAGAATAAAGTTCCACTGAGACAGGTTTTTCTTTCTAGAACTACTACTTTCTAGAACTAACACCCACATGAGTGCTAATCTGAACACTACAATCTTAACCTCCATTTTCCCATTTATGAATCTACCATTCATCTGTGCATTGAATTATTGCTGCCATATTTGGTCTGGTGCTCCAAAGACAATATCCAAAGAAAGAACTGTAATGTAATCAATCCTGACCTTGTATCTTGACTTCAGTCATTTTCCCATTACTACAATATCATTTCCCTGTCTTTTTTATAAAATATTTTCATGGCAATTGTTCTAATGAGATTTCTTTCTTGATGTCCTGACTACATGAATTTAACCATGCAACTAGATTGGCAATTAGGTCTCACTGTTTTACTGTTGAACTAGCTTAGATGGAAAACTGTATGTTCTATTCTAATAGTTTATTTTCTTGCACTTCTTGCCTGTGGAACCCTTTTTTACTTTCTTGCATCCCTGCCACCTATAGTCTTCAAAAATTTAAATTCAGTGCCAATCATCATCTCCTGCCTTCCTGAACCACATTCTTTTATTGTCCTTTCATTTCACTAAAGTCTTCCCATTCTCTTTCACTCCCAGTAACACATTCTGTCTTAGTGGCATTATCACCTAATTAATTGTGTTGTTCGATTCTTGGCTCTCATTCCTCCCTCTCAGTTGATTCTTGGCTCTTTATATTAATATATATATATATATATATATATATATATATATATATATATATATATATATATTCTGTTTATACATTATTTTAATAGATACAATTTTATTAAATAAATTCCCCTTTATTATGAGAGATTTCATACTAAATATGCATTCTCCAACAGAAATTGAACCTGTGTCCTATACCTGTTGGAGAGCACATATTTTCTATGAAATTTCTTAAATGTTCAGGCCAGTAAATTTAATCCATACTTTTTAATTAAAATACAGAGTATTTACTTAAATAGATTGTATCTATTAAAATAACATATAAACAGAAAATACATTAATAATTGTCCGACTTAATCCATTTCATTATATATATATATACAGAGAGAGACAGAGACAGAGAGAGAGAAAAAAACTAAGAATGAGACAAATATTATGACATTTTTTTTTTATAGGGAAATATAAATTCAACTGTTAATTGCAGAGTAGCCTCCCCTGTATTTATCTCCCTTAGATTATTTATATTACTGTACAAGTCAAATTTTCAAGCCTAAAACCTAAAATAAAAAATTCCATAATGGATAATTTTTTCACGTTCTAATGAAAGCAAAAGCATAACTGTCAGCTATTGCATTTAAATGCAAAAAGAAAAAATTTACTAATGGATAGCTTACATACAGTTTTTGCCTTACAAGTTGCACCTCTGATGATGATCTCAGAAAGAAATGGAGTGTACATGGGAAATAAAAGTGATTTTCATTGGTACAGTGCATTTCTTGCCTTATTTAATTGTAGTATACGGGAAAATATTTGTTAATATGAAAGGATTATGCTAAAAATAAGCAGACATAATGTTTGTAATTTATTTAATCAGACATGCCTAAAAAAGAATTTACTGCCTAAATAAACACACACAACATATATACATATTATTACGGTTAGTGTCTAAATATACAGGTAAGTGGTGTGACCTTATATAGTTTTGGCACAGGTTATCATTTTCATTTACCAGTAGACTTAAGTTTTGGGCTACTGTTTGGTATATGTTTAGGAGATGACCCATATGGTAGGTATAGGCCGAACTCAGAATTTTGCACTAAAAACTTGTAGTCGATTTGTACACGGCAATTTACTGTAAATCATTATAATTCTGCTTGTTCATCAGTTAATATCTGCATTACAGCCTGTCATTACCTCAGATAAATAATGGGCCATTCTGGTCTAACAAATGATGAAAGGTGGGACAAAATTATATATCAGTGAGACTGTTTGGTTTTAGTGAGAAAAACAAAGCCTACATAAGAAGAAAGAAAGGGAATATAAAGGAGGCAATAACGCTTTCAAGTATTTAATGTCTTCTTCAGTGGAATGGAAACCCTTGTCAAGTTTGAATCTTTTCATTTGTAGCCTTCTACTTTGATGAATAATGACCTGCATTCATACTTAGGATTGCAATATTTTGTTATAATTATTAAGCTCAAATATTCAACAAGGCAATATAGGAATTAATGTGTGCATTTTACAGTTGGAGAACTTGTAAGGAACTTATTCAATCATTCAGTTAGAAATTATGATTTATTTGAAAGTTCAAATAGGAAAACTGTGATATTTTTGCAAATACAGCTCTTAATTATAAATTCTATAAATAGAAAAGGATTTGTTAGTGAGCTTAACAGCCACCTTTGGTGGCCTTTAAGAAAATATTGTTAAGAATTACTATTTACAAATGTGATATAGATACAAATGAACACTTAAGGTTATCAAAACTGTGATTTACTCTTTATCTGAATCAGTTTGTACTGCAAATAAAGACATTTACTAAGTATATTGACAAAAGGAAATCTAAAAGTTACAAATGTTTAATGCTTATCAAACTGAGAAATTAAATATCAAAGTAAAATGGATAAAAAAAAAAATCTCAAAAACAATTAACTGAAGGATTTCTAAGAGAAGCACACATCTTGTTGTTTCTTTTGAAACTTATCTGTCAAACTACAAGTACAAAAATTGCACTCTTTTCAGTAGTGGAGTACCTACACACATGATCACATGAGAGGTCATCCAGAAATCAGCTACTGCTGCAGGCATCAAGGTATACTTTGACCCTATTAGTGAGTTACTGCTTTCTAAGGGGCAAGTCCTCATGCACTAAACTTCAATAAAAGATGATTTTTAGAGTCTTTTATAAATTCATGTTAGGCTAAAGTTTGTCTGTGTGTCTCCAACTTTACATCAGTAGTATGAAATAACTCAGGTCATTAGCACATAAATCATCATTTTCATATCAGCCTTTTATATATATATATATATATATATATATATATATAAGTCTGCTTGGAGTGTGGCCCCAAATTAAAGAGACTTCTGGTCCTGCTTAGAAAACAGTAATGATAATTTTGAAGAAATAATTTTGAATTCCTCAGTTCATGCCATGGTTTGCTCCACATGTAGCTATGTCCAGAGTAGAAAATACAATTGGATTTAGCATAATGACATAAGGGGCTTTACAAAATAGATGTCTTGCTGAAAATATTCTTTCTACAGAAATTTTAGTAAGGCAAAAGAACTTTTATAACAACTGACTTTTCTCTGTTCATTGGACGGCTATTTGGCTAATAACAACGAATGAGGACAATAATCTGAATGATGAGGAGTTATCATTATTTTAAAGTATTCAAATGTTTCTCTCATGTTTTGCTCTATGTAGCTATGTCCAGAGTTGGAAATATAATTGGATTTAGCATAATGACATAAGGGGCTTTAGAAAATAGATGTCTTGCTGAAAATGTTCTTTCTACAGAAATTTTAGAGAAATAAGCACTTTTATGACATTTGACTTATATCTGTTTGTAAGATAGGTATTCAGCTAATAATGAAAATTTAGGAAACACGTAATAAGGAATTATATCTAACTTGTTTAGCCAGACTCTAAAAGATAACTGCGTCCAAAATATGTTTTTAATTACAATTATTAATGTTGTACTCTGTATTAATTTTTTAAAGTTCAAGTAGAGAAGAAAACATGACAAGATTTATTAGTGGCAGATTTAACTTTAACAACATACATTACACAGATGACAGTGTTGCTGGCAGATCCAGAAAGAAAACTCAAGGAATTTTGTGACAACGTAGTAGAGGAAAACATATAACATGAAATGCAAAAAAAGACAGTCTCAGTTGTCGGGACAACAACATTAAACAGAGACATAAATTTAAATTTGCGTTGTAATATAGTAGCAGAAAATGGAAATTGCAGCACAGAGATCTCCAGGTGTATAAGAGTAAAAAAAGATGTCTTCCAGAAACTAATTAAAGTATTAAGAGATAGGAAAATATCCTTAGAAACAAACGACAGAGTTCTGAACTGCTGTATAATATCTAATGTATATGGCAGTGAATGCTGGAAAATATCCTCATAGATGAAGAAGAAATTTGAAGCAACAGAGATGTGGTTCTACAGACAAATGAGAATTGTTGAATATGGGAATATATACTACTGAATACATGTTCAACTCTTCCTGTCATTGAGATCTATATGAGAGTTGACTGAAAGGTATTTATGTGTTAGCTTGGTCAGGATGTAAGGTGAGGTATGGCATGTATGCAATGGAAGATACTGTGTGGGTAAGAATGCATTAAAATCGTGCACTTCAAAGTCTCTGTGATTATTAGTCAACAAACATCAAAAATAATAATAATCATAATAATGATTTACTGATACAAATGTCCTACTAATTAACCTATAGCTGGGGAAAGAGGAGGTGGATTTGTATGAAATAAGAATTTATAATGGGAATATATAGTGTGGGATCAATTCCATGTTGCAATCGATATATAATCTGATCCCTCACTTTGTGGTCATTGTAGTTTCTATACATTTATATTTCAGAGAAAATAAATCTGAAAGACATGTCAGTGTAGCTAATCAGTATTTGTAGCTGTATTAAGTTACAGTCCATGCCGTCTGTCAAACTCTCTGCATTGCAGGGAGGAACCCGGACGAAGCTTTGCTGAAGGGCAAGGTTTCGTTCGGGGAGGTTGACAGTTCTCGAGCCCGCCTAGGCGGGTTCGAAGGCTATATTTTTGGCCAGGCCTACGGGCTCGGGTGACCACGTAAAACTCGGCCTTGTGCCACATGCGACCCCACGTGGGGGGACAGCTAAATATTGTAGCTAATCAGTATTTCATTGATTAATTGATCTGTTTTCTATGGTTTATCAACCTTTTGCAGGTTATTTAAAGCCAGAAAATATTATTGGATTGTAAGAATTTGGGGGAGATAATAATGATTTACTGATACAAGTCCTACTAATTAACCCATAGCTGGAGGGAGAAAGAGGTGGATTTATATCTTTCCTAAGGGTATTTGCATGTAAGTGAATATAATTAACCTGACTGGAAGTGTTATCCATTACACTAACAACACATGCAAGCTTACATCACCTGGTATTCTCAAGTGGTCACTGATCTAGGTACTAACCAGGCTCGAAGTTGCTTAACCTCGGTGATCGTACAAGAACTGGTTTTTCAATGTGATATGGCTGTAAGCCAATAGCAAGTGGAAAAAATATGCTGAAAGTAAAAGCAAAAATGAACTACTTGTCTAAAATATAACCAAAAAAAAAAAAACCCCCAGAAATTACAAAAACTGAAATCTTTAAAAAGTGTTTAATGATATTACTTACAGTTTCCTGGCCTTCTACATGTCCACCTTTAAAAAAGAAAAAAAATGGGGAAAACAATATGATAGTCTGTTTTAATTCATTTTCAACTAACATTTCTTTCATTTTAATTTAAGTTGCTTTTCATACGTGTTTAGATCAACAATGTCCATTAGTAAACAAGTAGTAATGTTATCTGTCTATATTTCTGAGATGAGGTATTATGTACATTATTTACATTATTCGGACTATTGTCCTCATCTTTGTCGCCATATTTATTACAATGTTTCAGCCATTGTATGCTCCGGCCTTCTTCAGGTGGTTGGAATGTCGAACTGAACCCTTTATTTCACTCACTGGGGTAAACAAGGCATGTGGAACTAGAACAGTCTACCCAAGTGAGCAAAATAAAGAGTCCAATTCGACATTCCAACCACCTGAAGAAGGCAGGAGTGTACAATGGATATTTTTAATTTCTATTTTACTTTTTGATGCTGCCCTCAAACAGTTCAATATTTTTTGGTATCAATGTTGTTAAAACTTCCGCATGTCCTAATTTTGGGGACAGTTGGTATTTAAATCATAATTTAATAAAATGGTTCCCCAGGGTTGTAATCTATTCACTGCATGTGTAGGAATTCCTTTTTGTGAACCATAAATTGATAGTAGAGGATGGTGGTCTGTCTGTAAATAAAAACTCCTTCTCTGTATAAATTTGTGAAATTTTTTCACTGTAAATATTATTACTAATGCCTCTTTTTCAATCTGGCTGTAGGTTTTCTGCTGGTATTAGTGAATGTGAAGCGTATACAACAGCTTTTATGTTACCCTCATCATATTTCAATATATTTACTGGGGATGTCTTATTTACTCCACAACACAAGCCTTCAACTCTTTTGAAGGAGTATTTTCAAACCATTGAATTGTCTCTTCTACCATCCATCTATACAAAAAATACCAAATCTTTAGTTAGATCCACAAATGGAGACACTAGTTTCTTTGACATCAATGCAGAGGTCCTTCAGGGTGACACCCTTGCACCTTTTCTTTTTATTATCATTCTTGACTATATACTGAGATCTCTTGACGGACATTTTCATCAAGGTTTTACTTTATCACCAAGACTCTCAAGTCAATATCCTGCAAAAAGTTGAGATATAGATGATGAAGATGACACAGATATCATTGCAGACACCACAATCAATGATGCAGTTCTCCTACATCATCTAGAAAATGCTACCAATGATGTTGGGCTCTATGTCAATGCCTCTAAAACTGAATTCATCAGCTTCAACCTGCAAGGTTCAATACAGACTGTCTTAGGGGGATCAATAAAACCTACTGAATGTTTTACATTGGAAAGGATGTGAAAATTTGTATAGCTGGCCCACCTTGAATAAAATGGATGTAATCTGGAAATCTGATCTACCAGACAACCTCAAACAGAGATTTGTTTTAATATATGGTGTCCACTGCTTGGACATTAACTAAAACCCTTGAGTCTAAGCTTTGATGGAACCTACACTCGGATGCTGAAAGCTATATTTAACATCTCAACTAAATCACAGCTCAATGGACCCATCTCTGTGATATTTCTACAATCTTATACAAATGCAGAATGCCCTTTGCAGGACACTGCTGCGGAGCAAAACAATAGCTTGCAAATGATCTACAGTTCTAGATACCTAGCCAGGGAGTAAGATAGGTCTATCACCCAGCAATCACCTAAATTGAGCAGCTATCTTATGATGCAGAATACCAAACTATGGACCATCTGAACTTGATTCAGGACCATGATGGTTGGTGTGATGGACTCATGAAGGTCTGAGCTAGCTCGACTAAGTAAAAAAAAAATAATTGTGAGTAAATAAAAAGTAAAGTGGTACTTTCTAAGTGGACCTCTACGTATGTATATAATGAGATGGTAGATCAACCTAAATTGGAATTAATTTGCTACAGTCATCATAACATATCCAGAGCTGAAATACCACCCACTGACGACTTTAGATATTCACATAGTCCGGCGTTGACACTAAACACAAACCACAAACATTTTCTTTCAATCACATATTTACATTCTCCTGGACTCTTGTATGCACCAAGACTCTTTGAAGTCTTTTTGATATCTTTGAAACATTTGAACTTGAACCTCCAACTTTCACTCTATACTTCTATGTGTATATACATATATATATATATATATATATATATATATATATATATATATATATATGTATGTATGTATGTATGTATATATATATATATATATATATATATATATATTAGGGTAGGTCGATTTTGGAACTGTAAAAAGAATAACTCGAGGAAAGTTGCAAGATAACGTCAAAAATTACCACAAAAAATATTTTTCTTCAAAACTTCATATTTATTTGAGCAATCGAACTTAAAGACAAAATAAATTGCGATTTTTATCATCATAACGGTGTCACAGGAGACATGTCTATGTTAAAACCGAGTCTTAATGAAAAGAAAAAAAGAAAATAACGCTTAATAATGGATATTTTTGAGTTTATTATCTATCCTCTTAATAAATTAAATGAAATTACTACAAATAAAAAATAAAACATTAAAATATTTAGTTTAAAATACAAATAACTACTCATGGACGGCGTCGTTTTTTTGGGGGGGTTATTTACCGGTAGTAATTACCTCCTTTTCTAAGTTCGTTTTATTTCTGTTTATGCTTTTAACTAGTGCAAATATGTATTTTATTTTTCATCAAAATATACTAAACTATTTAAAAAAATACAACTTTTATAATTATTGTAATTTCTTTATTTTTTGAAAATTGATGTTTTATTAAAAAGCCTGTTTACAAGCTAATCCCGGAATTAACTCTACTTTTATGTAAATAAATATTACTTTTATAATTTAATAATGCATTTCAAACTTTATTTTACAATTTATTTTGAAAAATATTTTTGTATAATTTCTGATAATACATATATTTTCTTTGTCAGATATTTTAATAAAAATAGCAGGAAAAACATCCCAAAAGGCCTAGCATACCGTGGAATTTTCATAAGGCTATATAGCGGCTAGCCTTATCAAAATTCCATGGTATGCTGTTGAGTTGATCAGGGGTGATGTATCTTAAAATCTTGGAGCCAGCCTTGCCAATGCATTGCTCTTGGATTTGAGGGCTATGGACTTTCTTATCTCCAATATTAATATAAAAAGATATTTATATAGATAAATGTAAAATTGATAGAGAAAAGGTTAAAGTGAAAACAAATGCCCATCAACAGCATGATGAAATGGTGGGAAATTTTTGTATTGAAGTTGATGGGAGAACTGACAAAGACACATTAATGTACAAGGAAATAGTGGAGGAAAATGGAGGGAAAACTGAAATAAAGAACGCCACTTGACTGTCACAAAGATGACATGAAAGTGAATATCTGACATATAGGGTTCTTCCTAATATTGGTGCAACTGTTGTGGTTCTTGCCGAGTAAGTGGCTGATGTTTGGTATGAATTCAACAGTGTGAGCACTATCAAGGCTATCCTTGTTGACAAACACTAATGCCAATTCAGGCTGTGAAGGTGGATTTGCTGAACCTCTAAAAAGAAAACTTAACAGAAATCTTCACACTATTGGTTGCTCCTTGCACCAAAATAAACTTCCGTTTAGAGCTCTTTTTAAACATGTAGATGGTACCACAAAAAAGCCCTGCCACATTCAATGGTCCACTTGGAAGATTACGTGCAAATGATTATTACCATAATTTACCCCAAATATCATTTTCAGCTGTTGGCAGTCCTCTGGATTCTATTTTTAAAATTGAAAATGCAGATACTCTTAGTTGTGACCAAAGACTCCTTTATGAATATACAGTGGGTATTTCTAGAGGTAAGGTGCACTCTTGATTTGCATCATGGAAAATTGGTCCATTAAACCAGGCAAGGTGGTTAACTTTAGGCATCAGTCTAATGTGCTTATGGACTCATGGTGCATACCCAGGAAATATTTCAACCAAACTCCAGTTTAATAAATTTTATTGTGAATGTGTATGCCATTTGCCAGTTCAAAAATAAAAGAAATAACAAGTTCCATTAATCAGCAAATGTATATTTTCAATATGATCCAAAGGATTAGGAAGCAAACCATATGAAATCCAACAGATCACATTGAAAAATATACAATACAATGCTTTCATCTTACTGCCTGAAAATATCTTATATTCAATGGTCAAATCTGATGAACTGGAAGTGAGGGAAGAATCTATAAAAAGAATTTGGGCCATTAGGTTAGTAAATATTTATTTATATAAAACTGACTAAATTAGTTATACCAATTTATGGAATCCTTTTAAGAATTTTATCTAATTTCACCATGAATATTAAAGCAGTACAGAGTGCAATTTTTTTTAAAAATAAATCAAATCAATTTTTATATTCTTTCAAGAGAGGGGAGCAAATCAAGAAAATATAAAAAAAAATCACAACTATCAATTTTAAAGCTATGCACTGCACAGTTAAAAAATCTGTCATTAAGTGGAGTTTGTGAACCACCACTCACAGAAGAATTTTCTGAAAATGAACTTCGGGAATAATTATTAAATGGTATGAAGCTTGACTTGCCAGATTTGCCCTCCCATTCTCAAGGCATGGAACGGGCAGTCAAGTTAACAACAGAAGTTTCCCAATTTGTGTATGGCTTTGAAGCAAGGCACCAGCACATAATATCAAAAGCTTTGTGTCAGAAATTGAGACCATCAATTTTATCTGAGGGTTCTTATATGGAGCTATTTGACTATATTAAGCCCTATTAAACTATTCTTTATTTTTCCATATTTGTTGTATTTTCATTCAAAACAGAAAAAAAATCAATTTTTTAATGTATTCAACTAATACTGCTTAATTCATGAGATAAAAAACAGCATTTCAAAATCATCAGTGATAATAGGGGAGAGAGGCAAATTTTCAATTTGAAGTTTACTTATAATTTCTACATTTTATTTCATTTTGATAAAACAAAATGACAACATTCCCTGATTTAAATAGTGAAATTGTTTGTTTTCTTTTATCAATATTTAGTCCAAATCTTTTTTCAGTGCATTTTTGTCTACGACATTTGATGCCAAATGCTCAAAAAACTGTTGAAGTGTCAGATCTAATTTTTTGTATCAATACTTAATAGGTCTATACACAACTTTCAGTACATTATTCTTTTTGATATTTTAAAAAAGTGAAAAATCGACCTACCCTAAAATTTTATATATATATATATATATATATAATAATTGACTCTCCCATCGAGATTCGACGTATGAGGGTCAAGCAGATCAGCTTCCAGAAAAACCGACAGCCCGACACCGGCACATAAGATTTGATTATAGTGGTGAAGGCCTCATGCAGGACCATCCACACTTTTTGAAGGGACGAATACAGAGACCTGGTGCACCGAATGCCACAAGGTTCCCAAACGACCCTCCGCAGGTTTTGAATTCAGAGTTGTCCTTCTCCTAGACCAGTTGCCATCCAAGGCTATAGAACCCAGTCTGTCTTGCCATTTTACCCATAGCTGGAGGGAGAGGAAGAGGATGCATACCTTTCCCAAGGGTATTAGCACGTAAGTGAATGTAATGGATTCGACTGGAATTCGAACTCGGTTCTGCGATTCCTCAATCCAAGCCGCTAACCATTACTACAGCGTGTCTCCTATATATATATATATATATATTTATATATATATATATATGTATGTATATATATGTGTATGTATATGTATGTATGCATATATATATATTATATATTTAATGCTGAAATCTGTATATTTTGAACACAATTTTATGGTTTTAACTACAAATAAAATTAATAAAATTGTTGGTCATTTTGCTATAAATATGTATTTTTGGTAATATATAAAAATGTATTGCTGGTATTTTTATACTTTCATGGTGTTTTGTTTTTGTTTGGGGGGTTTACTATTTACCCAGAGCTGGGACCCTAACAGGTGCTACCACCATGGGTCAGAGTGAATCTGGGAACAACAGCAATTAAAAAGTGGTTCCACACTCGGTAAAACCTTTAATCTCCTGATTAGAGGCCAACTAATGAATGTCGTCTATTGTCATACTCATGATTAAATACAAAATAGAAAAAAAAGAGTCATCATGCATCTTTACCAAAGTATTTATATCCTACCAAACACACATTTGTCTTGCAAATATGTTAAGCTATCTACAAAATTTCACTGTTTTACTGTTGAACTAACTAGATGTAACTGTATATGTCCTATTCTTACAGTTACTTTTCTTGCAATGTCTCACCTAGGGAAATCTCTTCCAGTTTGTTGTTTTCCTGCCATCTATGATCTTCAAAATGATAAATGCAATGACAATCACAATATTCTATCTTCCTGAAACCTGTTCTTTTATTGTCCTTTCTCCTTACTAAAGTCTTTTCATTCTCTTCCACTCCCAGTAACCCCTTGTGTCTTAGTGGCAATATCACCATCTTCTGTCTTCCTTGGTAGTGGTGTCTGCAATGATATCTGTGTCATTATTGCCTTGTCTGGGGAGTGTGGTTTAAACAAAATGAATCAGAGTGAAGCACATGTATTTACCAACTCCTGCCAGAGAAGAGAGCCGGAAGAAAATTGGTACCTGTGGCATTAAGCTTTGATTCCTTTCTTTCCAATATACAAGTAGTAGAACTGTTAAAAATTTGACCGTTTTGACCAATTGAACCAAATACCATTGTCAGATTTCTATCTCTTTTCTTTTTGCTCCCACTGCTTCTGATTCCTCCCTTCTCCTATAGCAATCTGCTTCTGTTTGGTATTCGAACAAGAATCCATTCCCACTACCTGCGAGATTTATAAACATTTTTTCCCCCAATGCCATTGTCCCTGTCCATAAAAACACTCTCCTCATTCACTCAGTTTCTCAAAAGGTTCTCAGGTAAACAAAACTTCTTCATTCATTCAAACCACAGGGTGAAATGATTTAAAACAAAGTGTCAATAGAAGAGATTAAAACTATTCTTACCTGGTGGAACCCAGATTCCAGGAAAGGTACGTAGATGTTTTGCCCTGCGTGTAAGTAAAATCTTGTTGTCCATACTCTCCAAAATAACAGCCACTCCAACATCAATGCCACGATGGATAATCTCATTTGGAAGGTCAATGTTTGGTGATAAGCAATGAATGGGACAGAAAGAAGGATGCTATTAAAAATGAAATTAAAAAAATTGCATAAATAGGAAATAAAAAAAATTGTACAGAAAGGATAATCATTTCTATTTGAAATGGAAGAATACAATTCTTTGGTCTGTAATCCAATGCCTGCTTATGGGCATCCAGGGATATTTTCTTTTTAGAGTGTATCAAAAGAACTTTCCTTTTTTTACAGACCATCACTCCAAACCATGGAGGTGCAGATAATGTAATGATTATCAATATGGAAAGTGAATTAGGCCCACAGAGTTCAATTTTTGCTTGATTTTGTTTTGTTCACTTTATGCTAATGCCCTTTGAAAAGGCATTAATCTATTTTCCTCCAGCTATGGGTTAAATAGAAGATCAGGCTGGGTTCTCTTA